GCTGATGACGTCGTCCTTATAACACCAAACAATACCCAGGCGGAACGCATGCTTGACGACTTTGATAAAGCCTGTGGAAAGATTGGTCTTAGACTAAATCTCGCAAAAACGATGTTCGTGAAGAACGGATTGGTTTCGCATGCCCCATTCACGCTCAACGGAACGAATATCTCTGAATGCTCCAGTTATATCTATCTAAGTCGGGAAGTCAATATGATTAGCTCCAGAGCTGAGCAGAAGGAGACGAAGGACTTGGGAAGCTCTCAGGATCATCGAGGATGTACTGAAGAGAACAAAGAACACCCTACTCCATGCCCACCTTTTCGATTCAATGGTACTTCCTGCCCTAACGTATGCGTGAGAAACCTGATCGCTGCGTAAACAGGATGCAAGGTCGTTCAACGTTATCGAACGCGCAGTCGAAAGGGCAATACTAGGAGTATCTCGTTTCACACAAGCAAGGGAGGGAATCCGAAACTCCGACCTGCTTCAGCGATCTAAAATCAAAGATGTCGTTCTTTACGCTAAACAGTCGAAAATAAGGTGGGCCGAACACGTAATGCGTATGAATGACAACCGATGGACAACAGGCGTTAGTTATTGGATTCCTGGAGATTTCAAACGTACTGCAGGAAGACCACCGACCCGATGGTCAGAGTTCTTTACAAAGAGCCTTGAAGAAAGATATGATGCTCGNAACGGATTGGTTTCGCATGCCCCATTCACGCTCAACGGAACGAATATCTCTGAATGCTCCAGTTATATCTATCTAAGTCGGGAAGTCAATATGATTAGCTCCAGAGCTGAGCAGAAGGAGACGAAGGACTTGGGAAGCTCTCAGGATCATCGAGGATGTACTGAAGAGAACAAAGAACACCCTACTCCATGCCCACCTTTTCGATTCAATGGTACTTCCTGCCCTAACGTATGCGTGAGAAACCTGATCGCTGCGTAAACAGGATGCAAGGTCGTTCAACGTTATCGAACGCGCAGTCGAAAGGGCAATACTAGGAGTATCTCGTTTCACACAAGCAAGGGAGGGAATCCGAAACTCCGACCTGCTTCAGCGATCTAAAATCAAAGATGTCGTTCTTTACGCTAAACAGTCGAAAATAAGGTGGGCCGAACACGTAATGCGTATGAATGACAACCGATGGACAACAGGCGTTAGTTATTGGATTCCTGGAGATTTCAAACGTACTGCAGGAAGACCACCGACCCGATGGTCAGAGTTCTTTACAAAGAGCCTTGAAGAAAGATATGATGCTCGACGAGTCCCTAGCGGGAGCAGAACCCACTAGGCTACTCCTGCACGCGACAGGGAAAAATGGAAGAATTACTGGAGCTTGCTCGAGTCACTCGACGATCAACGGGACTACAGGTGATACGGGTGAATGTGCTGGAACCTTGTGCTCAAAGTCAAACCACAAGTATGCACGTAATATAAAATCAAAAGAGTTCCTACTACTAGGATGTCACGATTTTAATGCTGAACTTACAATTTTGTTTTTTACATGTATACACTTGCATATATATTAGCAAGAAATTTCCTCCAAATGTAGCACTATTATGCGTAGACTGTACATTCGACAAATTCAACATTTAGAAATTTGGATGTCAAAGCAACAATAAAAATCGATAAGTTTACTTATACGAATTCAAATTCGGTTGTGCTGCTTGAATGGAGTATGAGGCCAAGGATCTGTGACGAATGCATAGTGTAACGCTGATTTCAGAAACTTCGTCGTTGGGAAATCGACCTTGAAGATGAGGGAGCTCATCACTGATGCCCTTCCGCTGTTGACTACGATGAAGGGAACGATACTTTGGTCGGAACGAATACATGCATAACTTTCCGAGATCCAGCAGAAAAACTCCATTTAAGCATATCAACTGTTTCAGACCGTCCAAAAAAGACTAATGAATCGAAGCTCAACAAACGGATACCATTCGAATTCCACGATCTCTCTCCACAACAATGTACGGCCACACGTCGTATTATCAACGCAGCAAAAGTTAAACGAAGTGGTCTACAAAACTCTGCCTCATCCACTATAATCATCAAATTTCTCGTCTACTGACCACCACTTTTTCAAGTTCTTGGACAACTTTCTGTGCGAGAAATTCGTCAGAAACCAAGCCACCTTCAACGAACTCATTTACTTCAGAATCTGTTATATTTAACTGGAACAAATACAATGTTACTCGTTAACAACGATGTGTAAACTTCAACGGATTTCAAAGATTATTCGGATCTAAAATATGCTACTTTAACGATATAGAATAAAATTTTTCACTAATTTCCTAACAACTTAAGACACGCCTGCTAAGGTCTCACGGTCTCCCACACAGTAGTTATCGAAAACCATCATCAGTTCTCGAGAAACTACGATCGCAGAGAACATCTCGGAGAAATAATTCACGGATATGGTATATAATGTGGTAATAACAATAACAAAAGACAAGACAATAAAGTAAGTAGATCTCCGTATACTATCCGCTCTTCGAAATGAAACAGAATGTACATCGTGAGCGAAACGCAGATACCACACTGATAGAAATAAGAACGGGTGACGGGTAAACGAAAAAAACCACTGGAGTATACTCCAGTAGAATGCAAGCGACCTCTTTGACGACCAGCTAAACGATGAAAGTTGGCATTTTCAGCCCACATCAAGCACCTGCGTTCGCAGATAGAAACGACTCAGTGAACATAGAATGTGTTTTGTCAAAGTCACCATGATCGAAACAGACTATAACTATGAAAGACGACTGCCCGAGAAAAAAATGAATGGAAGGTGTGCTGGGGCTTGCACTACTCGTGAAGACAAACCAAGCAGGTATCTAAGTACCTCAAAAAAAACCTAAGAGTTTTAAAAATCATATACACCATTATACGTGCACGGAAAGCGCAGTGGTTGAAAATTTCGTTCATTAAAGACTTTGAATCGGCCAAGCACAGGTAACCCAAGATTCCAAGGAGAACGTATTTAAACAAGATTCAGAGACACTCATGAAGACAAAATCTTCTCGCGTCAGCCGAACCCACACGCAGAAATCGAAGATTTTTGAGGAAGATGGATGCAGGCAAACAGGGAATGCAGGGAATTTGGGAATCCTTTGAATATGTAATATCAGGTCATATAAGTAAATAAAAATGTATAAAACACAACTGTTATGGAGACTGGGTGGAAACCGACGTTTTTCGAGTTACTCGATGCTATAACTCTGCATGGAAACCACAGAGTTTCGAAACCACTACAGAACTTCTTATAACCCATCTAGTGCTAATTCTTTTGCAACAAACTCTAATACACACACTGAAACGATAAAGGCAGGTTTCTTCACGGTTTGTTTACTTCAACACAGCAGAGAATATGACAAACAGGTCAGTGTAACAAGCCGCTTCTCTAACACTTTTGCTCACTAGTGCAACCACTGCATCTGAACCAACTAGATCATTCATCCACTAAAATTATCAAAACAATAGATTCACTTGAGAATAAGAACACTTACTCATAAGAAGGCACTAACAGCACGCTATTTTAGATTAAAGTCCACGTTTAGTACTTCAGTAATTTTTTATAAATGGAGCAGAAATGCCGTAAAACTTAGAAAAGAAAACGCATTAGAACCTCTATCTCAATATACCAGCAGAGACTATAAGGAAAACATTGAAACTACATCAATACTTCCCCCACAAACAAAATCTCATGTAGGATCTCAAAACTGCTTCTTAGAAACGAGTTGCTTTCTTGGTAAATAGTGATGATTTACAATTTACTAAAATGGTTGAGTCTGAAGCTTGGGAAGTTACACAGATCACGTATCATCGCCTCAGTAGCATAAACAGTTTTTTTCAAAATATTCTCTTACCGTCAAAATAGTATCGAACTCAAGTCCATAAAGAAAAGAAGCCTGAGAACAAAAATCACATTTTGGGACAATGTCACACCCAGTTGTACTAAATATCGACTATTAAAATAACTCTGTTTGAAATTACCCGAGACAATTACAATCGAGCAAGGTACGTTTCTCGGTTAATAAATCATAATTTTGTCGTTACAAGATACGAAGACTTGAGTTTTGTAGGGAGAAAAACTGCAGATTCTAACTGTTTCTATTTCTAAATATTCTCAATCTTTTTACTGCCTACTAATTTTCTAAGTGGCAGGGTATTTTGTGAAATTTAACCACAACGGTCCTGAGATAATTGCAAAACTGCGGACCACTGCGGGGGCGGACTGAACACGTCATTACACTTTCCGGGGGCTAACGCAACAAATTAAGGACATTGTGATTTATAGCATAGCTTCAGCTTAACGGAGTTCATGGCCAATTTCTGCTCTCCAGATCAATCCCGCTGACGAGTGATTAAAACATTAAGATTCTCAATTATCCTTCTCAAACAAAAGTAAGCAAAACATCTTAAAACTACTTCTCGCTAAATAACGACTAAGACTAGAATACCAAGAATGACACACCATTAATAAAACAAAACTTTAAAAAAACACAAATTGCATAGCTTCCATCCCTGAAGAAAAGCCAGTAAATAAAAGTTAAAGCGTTGTGATTTTGATCGCAGCTTCAGCTCAACTCGCTCCCATACCGACTTATGCTTCCTAGATCGTTCTCTCTGACTGGTGATTGATGATAGCACCGATAGAGTAAAAAACTGCCTAGGAGAAAGGTAAAGCATGGGGTAGGTTCGACTCGTGAGGGTGGACGCTATGTGAGTCCCTGACAAAGGTAAAATCGTGTGTTTGAAGCCCGGCAGAAAAGTTCCGAGTTTTTCTCGTATCTCAGTATCATTGTATTACACCACTTTGGAAGAAAAAATAAAACTGGTTAACAATCTTGATCGTCCAAAAGTTCCAAAAAAAATACGTAGCTACGTAGAATGACGCAGAAGTGTCAGTTATGGTAACGAATATCCAACTAAACTGAACTGAACTAAACGTAATGAACTGCAGTAAAATACCCATAAGATAAGATGGTACTTAGTAGTAGAAGAAACTCACCTTCCTCGTTTCAAGAACTATTTTTATGATTTTGTCGCACATAAAAAACAAATACACTCCTAAAAGCGAGAAGTGAGCTAAGTGTAGGTAGGAATAGGTTAACTTTCCGCGTTCATCAACTTCATTGATGAGAGATGGATGAGCCTGCAATGCAAACAGTGTAAAGACATGGTCAATCTATTACTACAACCAGTGCAAACTAAAAACAGCGATACCAGACCTCCGCAGAAGTGAAACATACCTGAGGTAAGAGGTGGTAGAAACTTGACCCTGATAAAGAACCGACACCCAAACCAACAAAGAACGTAATCACCTGTAAAATTACACTAGAAGATTAAACGAATACAATAGTACATTCTTCAAAAGACGACAAAAAATACAAATCTCACAAACTTCTCTTCGTTCAATGCTACAAGGAAAAGGACTCACTTGATGATAGACATCTTTAGTGAGATATCGCATTACTGCTATTCCCAAGACCGCGCACATATTGATAACGGTCACGAATAACAAGCCAAAGGACCAAACTAAATCATAATTGAGTCAAAAGCGATGAAATTCAAAACTGAAGGAAAATATTAAAGCCATGGGACATCCAATTACAATGGATTACCAGGTACATCAGTTACAAAGCGGATGAAAGAAAAGAAAGACATATAATCCGACAGAGAACACGAAATATAATAGAACTCGAATCATACCCAAGTAAGGTCCAGGCCTATCGTGAAGTACACTGCCAGTAAATGAGGACATATCCACGTCCTCTGTAGGTGAATTCGCATGACCCAAAGAACGAATAGTTTGGTTTTTGATAAGCTCACATAGTTGTTGGATTTGACTGTCGGTGAGATTTGCGACAGAAGTCGATGCATCCCATGGAAAGGCTTCGAGTACCATAGCTAAGAAACACTTCAATCAAAGAAGAAAAGTGAGATCTGATTCATAAACAGCAACGAGGATTCGATAACAATGCAAATAATTTTCCAGAACATCAACTCAAGAGGTAAATCTGAAACATGTACGTATTTTCTTTCCTATACTAAACAAGAGACGTTTAATTCAGCGAAACGTTCATACTAGGATGAACTGTAGAAAGGCACCTACTTTCTCCTAAAGCAATGAAAACCAGTTTAGCAACTGAAATAGTGACAGAAAAACTATCGAAACACTGGGCTGTGAAATAATGGTCCTATTTCCAGCGTAACAAAAATATTCAGTGGAACATCGTTATCGAGGTTCATGTAGTAAAGAGTTTAAGAGAAAGTTTACAGACTTTTCGATAATATACACATATTACCTCCAAACGGTTTACCGGCTCATCGCGACCGGGAAGTGCTCCTGAGTGTCGGGCTGCGATGTACAGCGTGCGGAATCATCCACACAGCAGCGTCTCTCAACTTGAGAAGAACTTGAGAAGCTCGTCGTTTCCATCAGGAAGCCCAGCTAAGAGTAAACCAACACCAAGATCCACCACCCTCCTGGTATCAAACTGGTCGCAAGGTGGTAAATTACCTTCTGATCCACAAGGGCGGCGACTGCCTGTAATAGTGACGACCTGCGGCAGACTTTGGCCCGGCTGACGTTCGGACTCCAGCGAATTGCAATGGCTAAGCAAGCAAAACTCCGACGAAATGGAAATTATGCTGGAGTCCGCACAACCAGTGAAGACGGGCCATCCAAACATCCAAGTAAACACACACTGTTTCCTGGTATTATAGTTAAGTCCCGCCCACCTTAAGGCGAAAAAAGAATTTGTCGACAATTTGAATCTATACGAAAACAAAAATGGAACGCTGATAGGACCGGCTCTGACCCTCATAAGTTCATATAACCTTCACAAATTTCAAAAATGTGTACTACTCAGAATCACGAAATACTAGAATAACAGTTTGCAAATATAAAGCACGTGTACAGTGCTGGAAATGAAAACGTAGAACAGGATGAATGAGACAACAACAAGAAGAAGGAAAAAGGAAACGAAAGGATATAAATAGGCACAGAAGACTTTCTGTGACCGATTGGCATGTGATGCTCCCAAAGTAAGCTGTAGGATCTCGTTGTTGTAAGGAAACTACGATACCACGGTGAATTCTTTCCTTCATAAGCTCTTAAGCTGTACATATTAGGAGACATTGCAGGCCATAACAGGCAGGAAAATGGCCAAAAAAGTCCTACTGACGCAAGAAGAAGGAAAATAAGCCAACAATGTTCTACTGATCTTCGAACCCGTGCTAAATTCCACTAAGCTTGCAAAAGCACGAACCAATGTTGCTTAAAAATAGAAGAAAGTAAGCAGAAAAAAAAACGCGTGTACAACCACGTAGAACCATCTGCAAAGTCCCCTGATAGCATTCTCTGATTGCCTACGAGAAAGAAAACTATCCTAGCAAAACCTTAGCAATAATTTGATGTTCAAATGCCCCTCTTCAATGAGCAGCTCAAGTCTGACACAGTTTCATCACTTTAAATTCAACTTTCAACCGCTTTCTTGCTGGGAAAGTTGATTGTGCACTTTGATGGACTTGCTGGGAGTCGTCCTTTCCTTCCAGAAGAGTAGAAGTAAAGAAATTGTAACAATATTCACGGGTTTTCTTCAATGAGCAAACATGAGGTTGATATTATAGAACTTATCAGCACACAATAGCCAACGTTTAGGCGGTTTCGCCTTCTTCAGAGCCTGGAAAAGTCAAATTGACACTCAATCTACTTAGCTAAACACTTTAATAACCTTATCCGATAAGACCTAACCCATAAAATGGCATTCGCATAATGAAATTTAGCACTTGTCAGCTTTTAGTACACAAGCCGCTAGTATACGATTGTCAACTACTTCGAAAGATGGATACTGTAGATCAAACGGCGAAAGAAAAAAGAAAATATGAACGAGAGTTTCGTTAAGAATTAGGCCATTCCTAACTTTTCGCTCAAGGAAAAGTGAATGGCGAATATAGAGCAGCAGAAGAAGAATCCTACAAACCACTGGATAACGAAGAATATTCCGGAAAATAAGTCGAATAAGCACTAAGCAGCTCCTAAGCCTCAAACTAAGCCGTCATCGAATGCGAACGTGACACCGACAAATGTCCCGTCCCTGAGGAAGCGGATATTTCTTTCAAATCTGTTTTGGCGCGAATACTCACATTGTAATTGGAGCGCGTTTGGCATGCACTGTTTTATCTCGGGCGACGTTATAAAAGAGAACAACAGTCGTTCCCAGCGATTCTCGTTTTATTTCTGATAGTATTAATTGTGTTGACAGTATTTCTGGAACTTTTCAGCTTTTGTGTCTATTAAGATTGGTAAGTTTTGGTTGTTACTTCGTTCTAGTACAATTATGTAGCTGAATATCCTGCTCTACTCATTCACTTTTCCTCCGTTATTAATTCTCTGAGGTCTTATTCCTCCGTTATTAATTCTTTGTTTACTTATTCTGATAGCTGTTTCTTTATGGTATCTTCTTAGTTGTGTAAGTTTAGAGTTTTAAAATGTGTCTTATGATTTGACTGCAACTTGTTAGAATCCACAAGAACAAGAGTACCTCCACTATTGTATTTCTATTTCTGAATTTCTCTAATTTTCTTTCTGGTAGTAACTGCTGACCTAAAGTTAACATTCTTACTGTTTGTCAGTTGTTCACTGTAAAGGTTTGAACGTAGGAATCCAATGGTTTATCACTAAAGAGTAACGAAGTGATGTTTATGGGTGTTCAACTTCAATATGTAGTTAAAGTTCATCTCCAGCAAGAGTTCTTCCAGTTCAAGAAACTTTATGTGTTTTTTTAACGAAAATAATCTAGTAATAAACCATGAGCGGAAATTGCCGCAATTTGGCAGAAACGACGTGAAAAGACGACCAGCATCCTGGGATTGCAGCTTTCCTGAAAGTTTCATGGACATTATGTTTCAAGGTATCCAGGTGTGAAGATTAAGATTCTATAGTTCTCTATATCCTTTTTGAGCAAACACGAGGTGTTATTTTGCTCCTTATTGCTATGATGCTTACTTTTCGCCAGACTTCGTCTTCCTCAGACCCTGGCAAGGTCAAGTTAACCACAATCTACCCAACCAAACACCTCCATAACCAAACAGATAAAGTGCTAAACCAAGATTTCAATGGCATGGAAAGCAAAATAACTTCTTCGCACACTCATCGCGTTGTGTCTTTGTATGATGTTCACATTCCTGCAGTGTATAGTGGATGGTCTTAGGTAAATCACTGTTTGTTTGTGACCTGACAAGACGACCGGCATCCTGGGATTGCACCTTTGCTGAAAGTTTCATGGACGTTGTGGTTCATGGTGTTCAGGTATAATCACTCTTCGGCATTTATTTCTCTCTATCACGAATGTGTTACAAGATGGTTACAGTTAGAGTTACAGTTAGTGTTTGCAGTTTTATTGATTGTGCTTTTATCAAGTGCTCTCATTAAGTATTGTTGTGCCCAGGACAATCACAAGTAGGGTGTGATAGGACATCCAGTACACCCACTAAGCACTGTTTCGTCCAGGACAATCACTAGTAGGTTGTGATAGGAAGTCTATTTGTTATCCAGTTATCTTCTAGATACGTTGTTTGCATAAGGTGCTGATGGTATTCGCGAATATATTTGCCTTCTTCCCATGTCTTTTGTGAAAGTTTGCTCCTTTGAATGGCTTCTGTTTCAGACTTTGGATGAGCCTTCCGCAGCCTGCTAATTATGAGTTTGAAGACAAAGAGTTGAATGAAACTGTCTCGTCTGGCATTTCTTGTGATCGTCTTCGTCAGGCTCTGAAGAAGTGCATAAAGCAATCGCACTGTGTTCAGGTCTGTATCGAGTAAACTTGAGCTTTAAAAATGATTTATAACCACAATGCTGAGATATTCGCTAAACTTCCTGTAGGTCAATAATAGGGCTGAGAGAAAAGCAGAACGAGGGACACGCATGGTGTGGTGGTGAACGCCTCAGCTCCCGGAAAGGGTAATAGCGTGTTTAGTCTCCACTGAATACATCAGCGGTCCGGAGTTTTGCGAAAATCTCAGCATCTTCATGATTATATTTCACATAATACCCTGCCATTAAAAAGAGTAGGCAGTAGATTAAAAGTGGCGACATTGTTAAAGATGCTTTATGTTCATTTGTTCCTGGGGTTTCCCATTCTCATTGTAGTTTTTATGTTTTCTTTTCCGAGTTTTATATTCTTTGATCGATTGCTTCGTTTAAGGTTCAAGCAAGATCTGCGAAGGAGTGCATTGACGCACACGACGGTAGTGTACCGGAGAAGTGTTTCTTACTACTTCAGAACTTCACCGATTGCAAAAGGTCCCTGGTTGATATGAGAAGTCGTTTTCGTGGACGAAAAGGAGATTTGTGAACTTTTTCCATCGTGTGCACGTTCGCTGCACGTATTTTGTTGATTTAGTTTAAGAATTTCTTTGAATTTCTTGCAAGAACTTTGTATATATTCTTCCATTTGGTGAATTATTGAATTCTATTACCTTGTGAAATGTGCTCATGACAATCAAAGCCGTTCACATATAGCATTTATGTCATTGGTTCTTCATGGTTTTTGAGCCAAGGTATCATTACCGCGCTATTCTTCCGTTTTTTCTTTGGTTTTTTTCAGCGTTTTCGTAGATATTGCTCTGCGGAGCGTTAAGTATGAGGGATATACATGTCTCGTTTTTTATAGGTCTTGAATGTTAGAGTTGGGAAAGAATTCGTTAGCGTTTGAACCTGAAACATTGCGAAACGGCCAGGCTGGGAACACTACGCAGAACTTTTTCGATGATGTGAATTTAATGGTAAGGAGTGAAAGACCGTGTTTGTTTCTTAATTTGTCGGTTGAATTCACCCGTGGAATTCGGAACAATGGAACCAGAAGTGAGGGACAGTTGGACGAAGGTGTAGGTGATTAGTGATGTCAGTGGTTCTGACAGTATGTCAACGAGGTATCACTGCTAGGAAAGAACCCCTTCGAAGTGGGACCATGTCAACCTAGAGTACTTCATTTGCTACAGGCGAATGACAGAAGAAAAATTCATGCCTTTAATGATGCTAGGATATTTGCAAAACTCCAGACTGCAGATGTCTGCGATGGGAAACGAATCGCTAGTACCCTTTACGGGGCTAGCGCGTTCACCGCCACACTATGCGGGTCCTTCGTTTTGCCTGTCTCTCAGCTTGTTTTCTATCTACCAGTGCCAGCAGCAGACATTCATGAACCTGGTTGAGCTGGCGAGCACAAATTGGAATTGAACACAGCATACCTTTAGTTGCTGTTGAATGCGGTTTACCTCCTCATCGTGGCTGGGAGGTGTTCCTGTGTGTCGGACTACGATGTACAGCGAGGGATTCGTCCCCTGGCAGGGTCTTCCAAGCTGAGAAGGAGTCCGGCGTTTCCATCAGGAAACCTAGCTAAGAGTAAACCAATACTAGGATCCACCACCGTCCTGACATCAAACTACTTGCATGGTGGTAAACCACTTTCCTTTAATCCACGGGGGCTGCAACTGCCCGTGGTGGTGAAGACCTGGGGCAGACTTTGGCCAGACTAACCTCGGGGTTCCAGAGAACCATAATGGCTTAATCAGCAAATCTCCGAAAAGTGGAGATTATGCTGGGGGTCGCGCAAGCAGTGAGGACGGGTCATTCAAGTATTAAGTAAGTATACCTTTAGTTGAAAAAGTACCAATGAATGTTGCACTTGGTTGCTGATCATGATGCGTAGCTTAAAAAGACGATACCGTCTCAGTGTGTTACTTCAATATGGCTTCGTAGTGTGTTCAGCTCTAACGAGTTGGTTCTTTTCCGTGAGTGAATATGAAAGTCTGTTGATCAGTTAGGTAACGCCATGAATTGATTTCATTCAAAAACTCTGTTGTGGTATTGTTTTTTTTTGTTTAGATATGTACGGTGAGAAATAATGGGTCCCTAGGCATCACTGCGAAATCATTGGCGGACGACAATGTCATCTCCACTAGGTCGGTCCAGTTTAGTTTTCTTTTCATAAGAAATTGGTGAGTGGCCGTAGACGCCCTGCAATACATATGGGATCGGTCCGTGTGCCCAAAGCTCGCCAAGCGTTTCATTCCTCCGGCGTTGGCAAATTGGTGCCGGACTCGTTTGGATGATAGCAGCTTTGGCTCGATAGATCGGTAGGTGACTACAAGTCAATGTATAGCTCACATTCAATCTCCTCCAACGATGTCACGAATGGAGTGGAATGCATGATGCATCGCCCAGGGATTGATCAGCGCCGAGGGCTTTATTCTTTAACAAATTGGTGTCATACTCACTGTTTATGTTTTTAGTATTTTGGTTTCCATTCCGCATGTTAAAGTTGGTATGTGGTTTTTTTTCTATTCTTAGAACTAAGGATCGTGGTCCACCGGGTTTGATGAAGTTATCTCCCAATAAGAAACTCGCCATTTTGCAACGACAAAAGAATTCCGTGGTCTGTTTCCAGATTCATCCTTCTCTCGATCGACTGTTCATTGTTTGAAATCTTCCGTTCTTTTCAGGATGTTGTAATGTTGGAGAAAAATGATGGTACCGTGGCAGTAGAGTTTAATGTTCCAACAAAATCGAAGGATATGATACTAAGCGTTGACTGGATTACAAATAATCAAGCAAGTAACGAATTATTCTTAATAGCCCCATTTTATTAACAATTAAATCTTCGTGATACTTTTAGATTCTCTTCGTCACTAAGCAGTCTCTTGAGATATTTTCTTTGAACGAAGAGAAAGGAACAGCTAAATTACTACGGAACTTGAATGTATCGGCTTCGTGGTCCATCTATTATGTTAGTTTTTTCGTTACAGTGCTCTTTTCGTTGTACTGAGAGAAACTCTTTTCCACTGTTTTGCTTTCAGGCTAAGTCAAGTCTAATAATCTTGGCGACTGGAAACAATTGTACTACAATGCAACCATTTCTGGTACAATATGGTCAATTCACACGACTAAAGGTGTTATTGCACTTTAGCTTTCTAGTGTTACGCCCAAGTGATTCAATTGGTATTGTGTTGTACTTTAGAGCTTTGATGTTGACTTTGGTACGACCTCGATTGAAAATCTCTTAGAGAAGGATGTCATTATTTCTTGTATGTGAGTTTAGTTTTGTATTTTCTGTCATTTTCTTTGTATAGAATTATTTTACCGTCTTTGCCAATCAAGTTTTTGGAAATAATTTATAGATATGGAAAGATTTGTGTAATGGTACTGCGATATAGTGGCGATGGTTCTACTTCAACCGATCTTCTAATATATGAGCTGTCCGAAAATGTAAACTCTGGCGCGAAATTGAAGTACTCATTGACTTTAGGCAAGTTCTCTAACATTTCTTCTATTCTACGTAACCCACCTTTCACATCTACTAGGCGAATACCAGCACTTCTTGCGTTCGACTCGTTTCCTCCTTGCATCCATCATCCACTAAGGCCTTCCAACTTTTTTTTGCGTATGGATTTGACCGCTGTTTGAGCATTACCCTTTCATCATGAATTTCGTCGAATACTGATTGAATTGATTCTCCCTTCCTGAGATAACCGGGCGAAAACGTTGTCACTTGGACTGCAGAGAGTGATCTTTTTCCAGAGAAGTTTGATACCAATTTCCTGATACTGGAGAGATGAGAGACTTGGTGAACCAGACGCGGCGTCTAACCAGCACCGTGGTTGTGACGATCGGCATCACTAACACTGCCCGTATTCTGTAACAACGTATAATTGAATAGGGTGTGTTGCCGAGACGTAACATTTGCATACTAGTGGATATTGTAGCTCAAACTTGAATAGGGGAATTGGTCTTGAGCATTGTTCAATGAGAATCTTACGTCAAGATCGTGAAATGAAGAAGTTGAAATGGCACTTCTCCTCCGCAGACTCACCACCATAACCATGTATAGTGGAAATCTTGTTCTTCTTCAAGTTTTATTGTAAGGTAGTGCTCATGCCGCTCTCCGTAACAACTGAAAACCCATACGTCGTAACACAAATCCACACAACTCATTCCTTTTTGTTGTTGTTTACAATGACTCTTTTTTGTTTGATTATTCAAATGGACTAGTGTGGCGCAATGGTCGGAGGCGCTCTGCAACACACTTGAGGTCGATCCCCTAGTCCAGGGCTCTCAAAGCTCTCCATCACTTCGGAGTCGGCAAATTGGTATCACACTTGTCTGTTGTCTGACGATAGTAGCACTGGCTCGATACATCGGTAGGCCACCGCGAGTCATTGTAAAGGCCAGCTATTCGTTCAGTCACCTCCAAACAATGCTTAATGAAATGGAATGCATGGCGCATCCCTAAGGGATTGATGAACGCTGAGATCGTTTTATCTTTTTATGCGATATCTATATATATATGCCTGTGTGCATATATACATATTCTTCAAACTGTGAAACAAAGTGTCTTCTGTAATGCTTCGAGGTTTTCAACTTGCTAGTATTCTAGTGGTCGAACAATTATCGTTTGTGTAAAGAAAGAGTTCCAAGCTTTACGTATCATTGATATGTTGAAATGCAATTTAAACATTTTAATTGCAGAATTGTTGCGTACGCAGCAAAATTTAGTTGTTTTTTTTTTGGGAAGCTGCTAATCTTCGGAGGTGTTAAAGACTCATATTCTGTTTGCAAGCATGTAGTGGATTTCTCATTCACATTACTTGGTTACTGGGATGGTCCGTCTTCAGTGACTGTGCGCGCCCCAGGCAATTTCTACATTTTTGGATTTTTGCTGGTTTAGCTACTTGTGGTTCCCTAGAGGACCGAGGTGAGTCCAGCCAAACACTACCCCAGTTCGTCACCACTATATGCAGTCGCCGCCTTTGTGGATCAAAGGGAGGTTTACCGGCTTGTGACTAGTTTGATACCAGGACGGCGGTGGATCCTGGTATTGGTTTACTCTTAGCTGAGCTTACTGGTGGAAACGCTGTTTACAGTATTAGACTAACATTATTAGACAATTTTTCACCTATCGGCGACTGTTCTTTTTGGAAAGAAATGAGTTCATTTATTTAGCAAAATGATTCCTATTCTCGACTTGCTTTCCTCTTCCATTTTTTCAGTTCACTTTCTCTGACCTTTATCTTTTATCGTAACACCGAAGTTTTCAACGAAAAGTTTATGAGAGATTGTTTTGCAGACCACTTTTTCTTTGTGACTGTTCTCCCACCCACATAGCCCTCTAGCTATTTGGCTTAGGTCGGTCTTTCATTTTTTGATGGGACCCTAAATGTACCACGGAAAGTTAAAGAGGGAAGCGGAAAACGTTACTCCAGATTGTCTTCACAATGGAAAATGCACAGATTTGAGAGTTACACACAGAACTATGCGTTGCTCTGGCAACCCATTTGAAAGCAATCCTTGAAGAGGAAAGAATCTGAGATAAGTAAAAGATATTAGGTTTCTAGACACCGTAGATAGGTTCCGTTAAGAGATTCGGCGTGTGTTTGCTGAAGAATAATGGATGGACCTTGCAGTAACGTCATTCAGAGGGTGAGCAAATTTGGTCGTTCAAGTCAACTTAGTCTACATATAACCGAGGACAAATTCCGTATTGATTGACAAAAGTCGCAAATGATGCGATATGCGAAACACAGTACTTCAGAGAAAGATAACAGCTCATGAAACGAGAAAAAAAAGTGGAGTTTCATTAGTTCCAGACTACTAGTTCGAGGAAGCTGTTTAGGTATCCAGCTATCAATCAGCGTTAGATTTCAGTACCATGACTAGATGAAACGATAAAGCTCCCGCTGTCGATCTATCCCTGAGGGATGCGCCATGCATTCTACTTCATTAAGGATCGATAGAGGTGATTAAATGCATATCTGACCTTTACAGTGACTCGCGGTGACCTACCGATGTATCGAACCAATGTTACTATCCTCCCAGACAAGTCTGGTGCCAGTTTGCCGACTCCAAAGGGTTGGAAGGCTTGGTGAGCCTGTAGCATGGGATCGATCCCAGGTGCACTGCAGTGAGTGTCGAACCACTGCGCTACACGCGCCTCTTGGTGACTCAATACTTCTAGTTTATTGTATTTTTAATGCTCATCCCAATGCATGTCTTTTGGGGTTATTTTTTGAGACATTCCTTTTTTACGCGTTGAAGTGATATCTCATCCTCAATACTTATTCTGTTTTTATACCAGTGAAGCTCTTCTTTAGTGGAAAAAGTCATACAAACTCATGTCTGCTTAAAGGCTAATTAGAGTCATAACCCAATTGTGATGAAGATATAGAAAATAACAATATTTAACTGAACTTGGCACTTATTCTTGTCAGACATTTTTTAAACATTATATTAGCTGGACTTTAGAGAACATATTATGTCGAAGGCTACGAGGCATCATCTTTGATGACCTCTATCCTTCCCATTGCGCATAGTAACCTTATATAGTTAGAATGGCAGCTTTACGGTTTTTTTTGTAATGTCTGATATTTCCAGGATGCACTGGCGGATTCGGCATACATGTGATCGATAATTTAATCATTGTCCATCATCAGGTAATCGAAAATTTTGCATCAGCAAAGAGCTAAGCCAAGAGGATTCTTAAGTAACTTGGCAGCTTCTGTCTTCAGCGGGCCTATGTATCGTCATTACTTTATTTTCTTCATCCATAAATAGGCTGCGGTTTTCACTGGTCTTAAAGCTGTTCTCTTTATTAGCAAACACGAGATCGTTAAATGAAAGATTTATTCAATACAATACTGGCTAACGTTTCGGCAGTTTCGCCTTCTTCAGAGCCTGGAAATGTCAAATGGACACACAATCCTCTCAGTGGAATACTATCATAACCTCAGCAGGCAAAACTTGGTGTATAAACACAGCCACAATGATACCGAGATATTTGCAGAGCTCCAGACCGCAGATGTTTGCGGTGGGGATCGAACCCGTCATTGCCCCTTCCCGGTGGCTAACGCATTCATCACTATACCATGCAGATCCTTAGTTTCGCCTTTCTCTTAGCTGGTTTTCTATTTAACAGTGAAACTTAGCATATAAATGTTTGTGAATACATAGTTAGCATCTTCTCTTAAGCGTTGTATCGAAAATATTTTGCTGTTAACAAAATCGTGTTTTTCTTTCACATCGCTAAAACTGTGCATTATTGATCAATAGCGAGGTTAAAAGAAAGTCGATCCTGAGACTAGAAACTTTAAAAAAAAGAACTTAAAAAAAGAAAAAGAAAGAAAAAAAACATAGAAATTTTAACATGAGGTTTACTACGCATTGCTTTCAATGTGCTCTCAACCATTTATTTAGTGTGGTTGTTGACTTCGTTTTCATTCTAGTTCGCAGTTCTTTCTTGTGAACTTGAATCGGCCTTAAGGAACTTTAAGGAGTAGGTCGCTCCTAGAATCTTACCATTGGGAGAAGAAAAATGAAACTGGATATGTTATTAAGCGAAAATTAGTCTAAATCTTTTGTAAAAGTAAAAGCTGGAGTAACAGCATAGACGTCTAAGGGACCATCATTCCATGTCTAGTTTTTAGGGATCTGCGAAATCAATGATTTTTGATGTAGCCCTCTCACCAAGTCGACCTACACATTCTCCATTGATGACAGTTTCAATCAGTTCGTTTTTTATGTTTTTTGCGAACGTCCTGATATATTCCAACCTGTTTTAACTTCTTTCTAACAAAATCTGAAGGCTTTCAGAATCTTCACCGGTTTGTCAACCTCCACCGGCTCTCTACGTTCCGCTCTGGTCGATGTTTCAGCCGGATATCGTTGTTGGTGAATTCTTCGCAAAGAAAGCACATCTTTATTTTAAAGGATTGTCCATCAACATCGTCTTACAGATCCAGTGGCTGGAATGATGTACCAGTTGACATTCTACTGTGATCGTGCCCACGAAGAAATCCGTGACAAGGAATCATTGATTTACTTTTCGTGTGATTTCTAAACCTTCCTGCTTGAAAATTTTACCTTTCTTTAGTGCATGCTGATCGAGTTTCTAATCCATCGCACCGATCAGAAAGTTCTTGTTCTGAGCACGCTTCTACTTTGTCTTAAGAAGAAGTTGTTGCGATTGCGCCAGATTCGAAGGATATTCAATCTTATTGTGGAGAAATCCACGTCCTATTTAACACCTGAGGCCAGCTCACCTGGTACGCCGTTAGTTTGTTGTCTTTTAACTTGTGAAATGCACTTTTTTCTACCATTTTCAGATTCAGCAAAGCCTCATTTAATAGCAGCAAATGTCCAACCTTTACGAATTGAACAAAGGGAGATGCACAGTAACATTTTCATTCCATTTATGGCAAGTTTATACGGTCTGTTAGATATCGAGCACAGCCTTTGTGTAGTACTTTCTTGTTTTTCTTTTAGGAGGATTCATCTTCAGATCCAAAATTTGTTGCTGACATACTACTGCAGTATCTTCGAAGTCTTTACAGTTGGGAAGTACCTGTAGAGGTGAATATATTGCAATCGTTACATCGTCCATTATTGCGCGTAGTTTAATCCGTTTTTGCCAATTTTCAGTCATTCTAAAGTTGTTTAACGAAGACGAAAGGAAAACACTTTATTTCAACACGTCTACCACATTTACGAACAACCGGACGCTTTGCCGGATTTCGCCTTCTTTATAGCCTTAGAGGAAGTGTTAAATTGACTCCTATTGGCTGGGTAGATTGCGGTCAACTTGATCTTTCTAGGCTCTGAGGAAGGCGAAATCCACTGAAACGTAGCTTATTCGTAAAATAAAATCGTAGAATATAAACAACTATTTGATTATGGCGAAGTTAATAGAAAGTCGGTCGTGGGATTACGTCTACCACAATTTTCCATTTTTGTAGAACTACCTACTGGAGTTGGTCGTCGAGTCATTAGCGCTATCCGGTGAAATGATAAAACTCCATCAGCTTGTTACATATAGGGTTTGTTTTCTAACCATTCTTTTTGCATAACCCGACATTGCATATTTTGGCTATTCCAGCGCGATTTTTACATGATTCGTTTTCACATCCGTCATCCCCAAAGGTGCAAAGGTTTGCTTGTAGTTGCTGCTGCTTAAGGATTTTTAAGCAGTGACCATATTTTGTACATCGCAGGTAGCTTCTGTGGCAAGTCTGGTGTCAAATTTCGAACACAAAGTGGAGAGGTTTAGCTCCTAAGGGAAGCGGATCTGAACCACGACCTTGCACATGTTGAAGATAACTAATCTTTACCAGTGTGTCACCCCGTTGGAGTTTGTTTTATCACTTAATTTAATCTAGCCAAGAATACCGAAAATCAGACTCCAGGCACAAACCCATCCCACTTTACTGATTTTCTTTGCCTTTCGTCTATAATTTATTCGTGTATAGATTATAAAGCTGCGGTAGCGTAAATCGTCTCTCAGACCAGGGCAAAACAATTTTAGGCACCTCTATAGTGAAGGGATTATTGCCTACATAGATTATTGTACACATAGATGTCTAATCTGTATATAAAATTGGGGCAACAACACTATTTCCATTTGCTTTCTTGTCTTGCTACCACCATCCATGTATGTGTATGTGCAAAGCTGCTTAAAGATGTGTTATCTCTTCTGATTGATGTGTTAAACTCTTGTCAAATGGACTTTTCCTTGGAATCTCCTGAAGCAGCGCCATAGTGCTTCTGAGAACTTTATAACAAATAGCAAAACAGTCGTTTGCCACTTTGTACCAGAGGGTGGCCTGCTGCTTTGCGGATAGCATTAGTCTAAGACTTAAGCAGTCACTGCGATCAGTCGATTGAGCGGTCGGAGACATTGTAACAGACCGCATTAACGTGTAAATAAATATTATGATGGAAGTCTTTACCAAGATGGACTATAGAAGATATCTTACGTAAATCTTCTCTTTGCCAGTGTCTTAAGGTGATCTCGGACTCAAAGCCATTGGCATTTCTGCTTCTATCCTACGAGGCTAGATGTCCACCACTTTTCCAAGCTGGACTCGATATATTAGCAAGGTGCGCTTTTTGAGTATATTTCTAGACTACGTACTGCTATTAAATTTCAGACAGAAGGCATGTGATGAGATAGTGGAAGTTCTTCTGGAAAGAAGGAACGTTATTGATGCCATAAGGTAATAGTAACCGGCCTGACACCGAGATCTAGTATATCCTATTTTTTGTTATTAATTGCATTTTTTTGAGATACTTGAATGCACAGCAGTTGGAGACCAGTAGCTGGAAGTTGCTCGATACCGCTATTAACCAGAATCGTGTCGTTCAATATGCTGTACTAGCTGATTTAATCAGTCGAAAAGACAAAGGTAGGCAGTTAGTCTGGGTTAGTGTGGTACTATATCTCCATATTTCTTTAATATAAAGCTTTTCTTTCACTAAAGTGCTGTGGGACTTCTCAATGTTTTATGTGTAGTTTATCGACACATTTATTATTTGCTTACTTGTGTATTTGGATGGTCCGAGTTCACTGATTGTGTGGCCACCGGCATAATTTCCACTTTTTCGGAGTTTTGCTGGTATAGCCATTAGAGTTCCTTAGAATCCCGAGTTCAGCCCAGCCATAGTCCGCCCCAGGTCGTCACCACCCACAGCCAGTCGCCGCTTTGGTGAATCAGAGCGAGATTTGCTATCATGCGACTAGTTTAATACCAGGTTCTGGCATTAGTTTGTTCTTAGTTGGGCTTCCGGATGGAAAAGACTGACCCCTTCTCGCCTTGAGAGACCCTGCCCGGGGGATAGATCTCTCCGCTGTATATCGCCGGCCGACACCCAGAAACACTGCCCAGCCAAAGGCGGTAAACCGCTGAGAGGGGAACGTTTATTATGGAACGAAATTCACGAAAACCTGTGTTGTACCACATGTCTTTAGCAATAGTGTTTTAAAAAGTGATTTCTAAATTGTTCATTGTAGGTTTTTTGTCTCTTTTACATTAACAATATTTAGATAACCTGTCGAAACTGGAAAGTGAACTCACCAAACTGTACACTGAAGAGGAAATCAAAAGTGCTGTTGATGAGGAGTTGAAAGTGATGTAGTATATCATTTTAAGATTATGTTCTACATAGATGTGTGTATTAACCCATATTCATCAGAGTTTTATTTGCAACGATGGTTTAAGCTCTTTTTTGGCCTAGGCTGCTCGTTACTCAACTCTATTCAGAAGTGTACCTCAAGATGGTGCTATATGATACGTCATTATGCTTTCATACATAGTAACTGTCCTCTTTGAAAGAGCCTGGATACATACATAGTTTTTCAGATCTCTAAAGCAATATTTGCAGATATCTTGCCAACCTACGAAATACTCTTGTCTTTTTTTTAAATAAAAAACACATCCCGTTTAGATTGAGTTTAATTACTTTAATAACACTCTCTAATGCCAAAAGTAAATGGATCATTTCCTCCTGTTAACCATCAATTCAAGATAACGCCTGTAAAGTCTATACAAGCGTTACATTCCTCTTTCTAGAGATACATTAACAGCACCATATTCCTTATTAAGGGCCTTGGATATTACTCGTCGTATCTAGTGGTCGTTGTTCACATTCGGTTATCGTTTGTGTGCTAGATATGTGCAGTTTGTCCAATTTCCGATATATAGGTATTTATATCCAGGTATATGGCAGCGTTCATGAACTTCTCCCATCAATGCGGTCGGAACATTGAATTCGGTCTCCCAGTGATAAAACGGGATTTGTTCCTTGGCAACATCCTTGTAGCAAATTGGACAGCATTGGACTTTTATACTGTTAGTATGTAGTGTTAACATATTAAGGTTCTCGAAATCTAGTCAAAATCGCGGAGTGGACAATGTGATTTGCTTTGACAAGTGCCTTCTTATCTCGGATACTCTAGTCAGCTTTGAATTCACACACATTTCCCTCTTTCACTGAAACTAACACTAAACTAAGCAAGCCATTCCTCAGACCAATATTCCAATCCAGGTATACATATCCAACTGGATAATAGGATTCTGATTTCGATGTTCCGAAAAAACAGACATCAGGATCTAATAAGTTTTCCACGAGCATCACTTTGTATATTCCTAGATGTAGCCCGGACTAGACATTCGCGCTATGATATCGGGTGTAATTCGCTCATTTTGCCTAATTCCTGGTGTTACGGATACGATGTCATCAGCTAAGCAAAGCTGTGTATGTCCAAGATTGATTTCATGACCAATTAACCCAGACTTTCCATAGCTCTTTTAAATCTAATTCCCTATCTTCGTCGAAGCAGCACTTAGTCTAGCCAAGGATACTCATATCAACAACAACTGCCCTGTATAAAAGGGCAATGTCAGGTGAGCTTACATCATTTGTGCGGTACTCCACTAAAGAAGATCTCTCTCGGTACTATGATGAGGACGCCACTTCGAAAAGGTAAAAAACTGTGGGCCATCGACTCGGATCATCGAGTCTGATGAAGGCGAAGACGTTGAAACTTTAAAAGAAAGCTTTCGATATCGATTATTCCTTCAAGAATGGGCCATGCATTCGACTTTATTAAGCATTGTTGGAGCTGACTGAATGCATGTCTGACCTATACTCTGACTGTCTGACTCCCGGTGGCTTACCGATGTATCGAGGCAATGCTGCTATACTCCCAGACAAGTCTGGTGCCAACCTGCCGACTTCGAAAGGACGTAAGGCTTGGTGAGCCTGGGAGGCAGGGATCGATCCCATGTGTATTGCACGGCGCCTCCGACCATTGCGCTATACTACATGCATAGAAACGCTAGCCGTAGTAAATCCCTTTATCGACGTTATGTAACTTCAATGATTTAAATACATTTTGGTTATCATTTAGTATGACCATTTCTTTATTTGAAGATATAGTCTTCTCAAACTAGTGTTGCATCATCTCTCTGCAGTGAGAACTGGTAGATGAAATTTTGAATACAGCACTCCATACCGTTATGCTATGAGATCAATCGTATTTTAGGAAAACTGCGCAGAATACTACTCGGCGAACTTCCACTCCTGTCTACACAATGGACATTGTGGCTTAGGAGTATTCTGTGCATCGGTCCACTTCACAATACAATGCATGTGAAAAGGATGTTTGCATTGACCGAGAACCTAGAAAACCAAGTTTGGTGAAAACATGCCGTGAAATACGCTAGTGTGAACTAATGAGAATTATAAAATCGCTAATAGGAAGAACGTTAAGATGGTCAACAATATAATGTCAAAGTTCCGACTCACCAGAGGGCACTCGTCACCTGGACATTTACAGTCAACACAACATGCCTCGAAAGCCATTCGGCATATTCCACACGTATCATCTCCACCTTCTATCCATTTCCACTCAGCAGTAACCTAGTAGTGATGTGATGAAATCTTCAAACAGTGTTACAGATGTGTTGCTGATGAGACTGTTTGTGTAAAAAGACTGGCTGAGAGGAAGGCAGAATGAGGCCCTTTGCGGTGCAGTGGGTAACACGTTAACCGCCGGAAAGGGCAATCGTGGTTCCATCTGACCTGAGGTCCAAGTTTTGTAAAATATTTCAGCATCAGTATAGTGTTACAGACTTGCATTTTTATAAGCTTAATCGAATACTTTCAAATCTTGAATTTTAAATGTTGGAGGTAGCTCACCCAAATGGCCTAGTAGCGATTTCCATAAAATAACCCAGCATATATGTCAATGCCTAAACAAGAGTAAACCAATGCTAGGAACCAGCATGGTGGGATTAGATCGTCATAAAACTGCAACCCCCCATCCCCTCTCGAATTTCTCATCAGCAGGTTATTGAAGGTAATAAATGCCTGGAATGGTTTTCATCTCCAGCAAGAATCTTTTACAATAAGCAATATCAAAAGTTAACAATCAAATGGGAATTGTTCTAGAGCATGAAGAATTCCAGAAATCAGGAATGGCCGTCCTAATATTAAAACAGTTTGTCAACGACTAAATTTTGAAATCATCCACGGCCCATATTTCTATGTATTGATTTGTCATAAAAATGCGAATACAAACTCACAAATAGTTTGTTCACTTTCACTCTCAGATCTGTATTAGTTGGTAACTCAACGGGAGCAGCACGTACAGCAGGAGTCGCGTTGAAGTTCTTAAGTTTTCAAAAAATGTGGTAGACATAACAATAAGTAATTTAATGAAACCTCGCCATCAATCTTTATGACGCACACAAATTTTTGGCTTTAAACCCTAGTATATTTGGGTTCCCTTCCAACAGTTTATCGGCTAATCGTGACTGGGGAAGTGCTCCCGGCTGTCGGGCTGCGATGTACAGCGGGAGGACTCCCAAAACGAGGAGTTCGACATTTCCACCAGGAAGCACAGTTAAGAGTAAACCAATACCAGGATCCACCAACGTTCAGGTATCAAGCTAGTCGCATGGTGGCAAATCTCCCCCTGATCCACAAGGATGGCGACTGTCTTCGATGGTGAAGACCTGGAGCAGACATTGCCCAAGCTGATCTCGGTACACCAGGGACCCACAATGGCTAAGCCAGCAAAACGCCGACAAACTGGAAATTATGCCGCAGCCCGCACAATCAGTGAAGACAGGCCATCCAAGTATCTAAGTAATTGAAAGTTAGGCTCTTATGTTACTGTGGACGAAATCTACAGATTAACCACTTAGTGCTCTAACAAACTTTAGATACACCAATAAGTTGATGGGTACGGTTTCTGAACAAAATGAACGCTCAAATCATGCTTCCACCAAAATTAGGAAACTGCTAGCCAATTTGTGGAAGAATATTAGATAAATCAAACCTTCTTCTTAAACTCAACCATTGTTACACCATCTTCATCTTCACCATATGACGATCCATTCGATGAACCACTATAGGTCTATAAAAAATTATATAATCATACTAGCTTAATATTCTGGATAAAATCTACAGATACTCTAAAGCTGTCTCATTAGCTTTGAGAGAAATCTCGTAAAGCTACTACTTTACACTGTATAGGAGACAACATCCATACTGTTGACTTCTGACCTCTCTCAAGGCATTTCTACTACCTATTTTACATACTGGATTGAACTTCGGTAACCCTAACTCTCATAACACTAAGTCTAACGCCGACAATAACTCTAGCAGTGACATGTATGATCTGTAGGATCCAGCTGGCATGAAGATATTCCTTCTTTTTACATATAAGTTTGCCACCAAGTGATAGACGAAAGAGGATGAATAAATGAATGGTGGAGCTAGTGAGATTGGTATGTGAATCCGAATAAAGTAGCCGCTTTATATACAGGCAAGCTGCTCATAATGTTATAATAACTTCTTTGTACCCTCCTTAATTCAAAACGGTTAGTAGCATAACCTTTCCAGATTTTTCTTTCACTGAACAACTTCCATTACAACTGGGACTCGCCTAAGATAGATTTCACAAACAAAGCAGCTTTATTCCCCATCCAACCTCTCACTTAGAACTTATCAGTGACCGTTCTTTGCCTTCGCAACAGGCGCATAAGGTATGAAACACATGGAATCAGCTTGACACTTTTCTTCACCTACTTGCAAAGGTCCCTACCACAATGTTAAGGCCGTTGACGTCTAACGTTTTAAATCATCACTACTTTTACAATAAGTCGATAAATTATAAAAAGACCACTCTGAGAAGAGGAAACCCCGGCTAGTTCTACAACTGTACGTTTATATACAGTTAGAACGTACATTTTCTTTCTTTAAATGTAGTAAGTAACAACTTAGTAACATGATCATCGTCCTCTTCAAGCGGTACATCCATCGCTCGATTCGTAGCACTTGGTGCGGAATTTTGTATCTGTTGACCATTCTCGTCAGCAACCACATCTATATCCATATCGTCATCCATCTACAGTAATCCCCTTATGTCTATCTAAATGGAGGACAAATATGAGGAATGTGATATGTTCCAATCATAGGCGGAATCACGGTAAAGTAATTTCCACCCTAAAGCTACCTAGGACACCAGAAAGACCATATTTTTTACTTTTTTCGCACATGACACGTCTTCACGACTACTGTGCGGATCACAGAACTTACGTTTCGTCTGATCCATCATCTATGAAGATCTCCCAACTTTTAGCGCATGGCTTCGACTGCTGCTTGAGGGTTTTCCTTTCGACTTGAATGTCGTAGAATGCTGATCGAGTCGATTCTCCCTGGAGTCCTGAGAGAGCCGGGCTAGAGCGTCCCCACTTGGATTGCAGTGTCTTTCCAGGTGAAGTCCGGCACCAATTTCTTGACTAAGGAGGGACGAAAGGCTTCTTCAGCCCCGACAGGGATTGAACCGGCATCAATACCATATCTCGCTATGGTGGATCTCTTCGACGTTAGTACGAGAACTGTCCAGTGGCGGAACGGATTTGAACAAAGTATCCAGCAAATTTGAGTAGTTACATGGAATTCCGTTAGGAAACTAAGATTATCGACTATGACACAATGCTTAATACACGTGATTACCCTAAGAACCTGTTAAAACATAAAATTTATGGATGGGTAAGAAGAAGATAATATGGAAGCGTCTTCCTAACAGTAACACCGGTCTTTCTCTTCGCTAGATGTAAACTAGAGATTAGAACATGCTTACTACTTTGTATATATAAATATTCTAGGAGTACCATGCCCAATGCCTAAGGAAATGTCAACGTAGCTAAAGGTTATAGTAGAAAACAATCAAAGACCACATGAGGGGTTCAGCCACTTGAACAAGAACCCTCGCAGCTGACGTTCTTCAGTTTTTCTTCCGAAATGTAACACTGATATCCATTTCCTTATAACCTATTTAAACACATTCCCTTAGCTTCTTTGAAGATTTCTGTATCTAATACCACATAGCCAAGTTTGTTCAGCCTTACAGTTAGACATTATCACCTGCTAGAGGGGTCTGAGATTCGAAAGCTAAAAAGGTTCTTTCTACAAAATATGGTTTTCCCTCTTCGGAAACACAACAAACAGTTTTTCCTCCATAAACAAGAGTATGATAACAAGCCGATATCAAGTCTGTCATTTTAAAAGTCGACATAAAACAACGGAGAAATCATGGCAATAAAATAATGGAATGTCACGGATTCTTCAAAGCGAATACCGCGCTCTAACATGAAAAGCTGTCCTAACGACTAAAAGAAATGAAACATCGAAAATTCCAACTTTTCTATACTAGTGACTCCACTTCTGAATGGTTTTCATTTTACAGTTACTCGCCTGCTCACATTCTCTATTGAGAAATTTCGCTCTTCAGTTAAATTATAGCCAGCTTCATCTACGGGGAGCGGGTTTAGACCAGTGGTCGGAGGCGCTCTGCAATACACATGGGGTCGATCTCGGCTCCCATCCCTCACCAAGCCGTCCATCCATCCGTGGTAGGTAAACTGGTGCCAGACCTATTTGAGAGGGTAGCAGCACTGGCTCGATGCATCGGCAGGCCACCGCGGATCATTGTAAAGGCCAGATTTGCATTCAATTATCTCCAGCGATGCTGAATGAAGTCGAACGCATGGTGCATCCCTCGGGAATTGATCAACGCAAGGAACCTTATCTTTTTTGTTCTCTACGAAGCATTTCAGTGCCAAAGATGTCGGTAGGTTCGGTTGATGCACAGGAATGCAGATGTATCGTGAGTCGCATTATAGCTTCATGGAGCGGCTATCAGTTAGGTGTGGATTTCGGTTCTGGTGGTTCGGATACATTAGTCAAAGATGAGGTTGGTCACTTGGTTAACCTAAGTGCAGAACGGTTCAACATTTGTAGTCCATGTGATTCGCTTCCATGAGCTTAGTTGTAGTAGTTTTCAGGTAGAGTTTAACCTTTTCCACAAATGTGTTTCAGTGGTTCAAAGACATTTTGACCGAGTACATTCTAATTACTAAAGGCTTAAAAGCTGAGGATCTGGAGGATTGGCTAAATAACGTTTTGTATACGGAGTTTAACCTTATTCTTGAGGATGACAGTGTCTATCCCACATCGTTGATTCTTATCGAGGCGTTCCAGTAAGTTTTCTTTTATCTCTCCAACCTTAGGTTTTTACAGAGTTTTTGGCCTCGTTTTTAGGTATATAAAGCAGAATAAACCAGGCGATCTTGATCGTTTGTTAAGAAGCCTCCCGTCTGTTGATGCTGTTCGTGAGGTAATCAGGCATGCTACCTTAATGACTGAAACTGATCATAGTTAAAGTCACGCATACCTTAGAGACCTTGTTGAGATAGAAAAGCTATTGAAACACAATTTGTTGGCACGATTTTATCACAATTGCATTGTAATTCTTTATTAATGGGTGAGAGAGCAGCAATGTAACCATTCAGCCTTCATGCTACCTTAATGACTGAAACTGATCATAGTTAAAGTCACGCATACCTTAGAGACCTTGTTGAGATAGAAAAGCTATTGAAACACAATTTGTTGGCACGATTTTATCACAATTGCATTGTAATTCTTTATTAATGGGTGAGAGAGCAGCAATGTAACCATTCAGCCTTAAATCAGCTACAGTTTGCTTAAGGACTTTACGAACCCTTTACTTTTCCCACGAACTCTATGGTAATGAGGTGTAATGCCTGATGAAGTAGTACACGTATTGTACTTGCTACGTGCTTCTACTTGTAATACTTATAATACGTATTTGTAGGCGAATAAGATGAGCCGTGCCGAATGTCTGGGTGAAGAGGAGGAAATGTACATGGACGACATTGATGAAAGCGGTGAAAGCAGCCATGGTCAGTTTCCACATACATTTAGCGCTCTTAAAGTCCCACAAGAGCTAAGTGCGGTGCATTTGTTACTAAAATATGACCATTTCCAAGTTTGAGCTAAAATATCCCAGCTCATAGTGGACATTTTTAATTGGAAGAAAGCACACTAAAGTTTAACATCTTTGCCTCTTTTATTCTTCACCGATTAATCATGCTTTTTTAGGAAACGAATGGCACATTTTTAGTTTTTTTTTTTTCGTCGGGGTAGATTCGTTCATTTACTTCAAGAGGATATATTTAAAGTTTTTGGTAGATATCCACAACTTTCGTGAGAGTGTGTTTAGTTGCGAATTGGTTGCTGATTTTATTCGAAACTTACCAGTGCGTACTTATCGAGGTTCGAGCGTAGATAACCAGTGCGAATATTGGGTGAAGCAGAGTTTCGTCTTTCAGCTCTTCTGGCTTTCTATGTTCATTGTGTGAGGTGTGTGCTCGAGCACCACCTTCTAGCAGGTTCGCATACTGATGGAGATTGGTGCTTATTACAGTCTTTTGCTTTGGAATCGAAGTTTCTGGTTTCCTAAATATCTTCAGTTATGCCACGACCGACTTCCTATTAACCTCGGCATTGATCAAGTGATTTTCTTCGTATTTTTGTTGAGCAAACGCGAGGTGTTACTATTTTTTGTTCACGATTAAGCTGACGTTTCGGCGGATTTCGCCTTCTTCAGAGCCTGGAAAGGTCAAGTTGATAGCAACTCACTCGGCCAGACGCCTCCATAACCAAACAAAGAAACTCCAAACCAAGATTTCAATCACTTTGAACACAACTTTGCACACTCACCGCTTTCTATGAGGTTTCAACTAAGTATGTCACGTAGAGACCAACCGCACAGAAATCACGTGGAAGTATAATGTTCCCCTCACATCAGAAAAGCAGTTTTATATACTGCCCTATATCACGCGTGATAATGAGGCATTCCTCCTTGCGGTTCATTTTCGGATTTCTGGAATTAATCCAGAGTGCCTTGAGAGTTT